TCAAAAACTCTTCAGAGTTCATACAATATACAAAAAATATCGTTCTACGTGAGATTTTAGTTTCCTTCGATGTTAGTTCTTCATTTCCTAGAGTCCCACAGGCCTTATTACCATACCTCAGGGAATCACTAGAGAAAAATAATTTCAATAATAACAAAATTGATGAATATGATCCTTTCACTAACTTGTGTATAAAACAAAACCGTTTCTAGGTAGAAAGTTGCTTTTATGAACAACAGAAGGGAACGGCTATAGCTAACCTCTTGTCCCCCTTCCTGGCTAAACTGTTCATGAGCCAATTCGAAATGGGAACCAAAAAAACATATAAGGAAAACTAAGCACACCTAAAATATGAAAGAACAGAAAAATCAGCATGTTTTGCAACAAATCCATTCCATGAAACAAGTTAAAAACAACACGCATCATCTTGGCTTAGATATCAGAAATAAGTCAACATAATATGTTACTGAAACAACGATAGACCACAACCTGATAATTTATTATATAGCTTGTTGAAATAATATGTTTAGTTATCAGATTTACCTGACTAGTAGATAGGGCAATATTGTGAAATTAATTTTATATAGCTTATATTTCAATTATTAGATTTACCTGACTATTACATGAGGACACATTGTAAAATTAATTTTTAAGACACTCAAGACGCAGGTACCTAGAACCTATGGTATAAATTAGGATAACTTTTTAAGTATGATTAGTTTGTATTCCTTTTGATGATGATAACTTGGTGATCGAAAAACGTGTCGAGGTGTTAAAATAACGGTTTGGTGACCAGTGACCTGTACAAATTAAGATTTTCAGCATCAAAATTGATATTGGAGTCCCCATCAAAAATAACATTGACCTTACCAAATTTCAATAGGAGACCATTCAGCAACTCCAGAAATGAGGTAAAATTGGTTTCATTGGCTTCCCTAGCTACTCTTGGGACCCTCCATTCATCATGTAACTAAAAAATCCCAACCCAAGTCTACAGAAGAAATATACGTCGACCAAACAACAAATATCCTCCCTGTAACATCGGAGCAGAAGCTTCTCAGTTCTCCAACTCTTGAAGAAACCTAGGAAAATAGGTGGTGCAGCCAGGAAGCTATTTATCGCCTCCTTCAAAAATCTTGCGCAGCAGAAGCAGAATCTGCTTTACAAGAGGGAGCAATGCTTATTCTAAAACGACGATTCACCCATATCAGAGGCAAAAAATCCCTGCATGGCTGAATCTAATGTATTGTCAGCAATAGCTAACGTACAGCTGCCCTCATATGGGAAAATTTTGCTGCGGGCATCAAGGTGGGAGTTGCACATACCGGCCTAGATAGCATGCTACCTAAGAGGATCAGGGTACCTAGAGAATGAATTCTATCAATGATGATGTACCCTATGTGAACATAACACGTAGAGTATAAGGTATTTCTGTGGAAGATATTTTGTTAAAAATCAAAAAGACCATGTCAAAGAAGAGTCATTATATGTTTCTCATTCACTCCTGTTTCTTTCAATGATCAACAACAGTATCGGAGAATATCGCACGTTAAAAGGTAAGACCTCGTTATTCCTTAGCTCGCACAAGTTTCGGATTTTGAGGAACTGAAAAAACATATTTTAAACAGATAATGATCTAAGAGCCTTGTAATTACTTATAATATCGTCCCAATTTCTGGTACGCCAATTCTTTTGAGCTTCTGATGTATGTCCTTGTTGTTGAAGGTTTGATGGTACAATAATAAATTTACCAACAAATCCCAAACCCCTAAACAGAAATGTGTTAAAATAAAGTGGTAACCAACATGGTCTTATAAAGTGTGGAGCTATCTTAGGGGTTGTTTATACTTAAACAAAATTTTCAAAAATTATACATTATATTCATCAAAATGGAATTTTGAAGAATATAATGAAATAGATTGAAGAACAATGTACCAAATGATGGTTCATTTAGGAGCCGTTTAAGGGGTAGTTTAAACTTGACAGAATTTTTGAAAATTTCAAGTATAAACTACCCCTTAGACGGTTCTCAAGAATCATCTCTATGTATATAATGAGTTGGTTTATTATATCATTTCAAAGGGTATACACTGAATTTTTGAAAATTTCATTAAGATATTAACTACTATGGTATAATGGAAGTGTCCATGCCGTATATGAACCTGGATTTGAACAGAATTAAATAAAAATTGGTTCAAGTATAATCCACCCATTAGACGGCTCTCAAATGAATCATCTTTCAGTAGATTATTCTTTGGTTTATTCGAAGTGTCTATATGGAATATGAACCTGGTTAAACATTTTCAAAGATATAAAATGTTATGTTTGAAAACTTTGTTTGAGTTTAAACCACTTCTTAGACGCCTCCCAAATGAATCATCACTTGGTCTATTGGAAGTATTCATATCAAATACGAACCTGGCTAAACATTTTTAATGATATTTTGTTCAAGTATGAACCGCCTCTTAGAAGGCTTCCAAATGAATCGTCTTTTGGTATATTGTTCCTCGGTCGTTTCCAAGTGTCTATACGGAATATGAACCTGGCTAAATATTTTTGAAGATATAAACCAAATCTTTGAAAATTTAGTTGAATATAAATATACGTTCTCTAAGTATTCAATCATTAAATTGAGTAAACCAGCAGTTGTGGTACACTTTTATCTCACATTACCTATATATAAATTTATGAAGAAAAATAATAAAATTTTAAAGAACTATTTTCTTAACAAATAATATGTGACAAAATAAACACTTTTTTCCAATTTTGTACATGAAACATTCATAAATTAAACTTAGATATTAGAAAATTTCACAACACAAAAAAAGAATGTATATTAACATAAATATTCCTCTTGAAGGCCAATCTTTTGATCAAAACTGGACTTGAAGGGTAGACTTTGTAACTTTCAACTACAAGCATTTTGCACTAAATTAAAGATCTTCAACTACAACCATTTTACACTTAAATAAAGATACACCTCTCTGATTTCACCAGTAATTCGTAGGACACAATATCTTTTATTCTTCCTCAATGTGGATTCATACAACTCAACTAATCATCATGAGAAGTTTTCCAAAATTTGTCTATGATCAAGAGACTTTTCAATTGTCGAAGGCAATTTGAGAACGTGAGCCTCGGCGTCAGCATATCCTACCAACTAATCTTGATAAGTTTTTACATGAATGCTTATTTTCATAAGTTTATTTACTGAATTAATTATAAGTTGGCTTGCATGAATCCAACATATTAGCCAGACATCCAAGAATATATTCTCAAAACTTTTGAAATTGATTAATAGCTAGAATAGGCAAGTTGATAATTTATGAGTCAATGACAAAATCATAGCATTGATGAATCATAACATTTCAGTTGGAGCAAATTTTTCAAAACCACTTACTCTATTGCACCTGCTGTACGACCAGATCCCTCTACAGTGGCCGAACCCCATCTCTGTTGCTGTTCATCTACATCATTAACAAAATCAGGATCAGTCTCCCATTCATCATCATCTGTATTTTGACTGCTAACATTGATTTGATGACCAGCAGCAGCTTTCCACATTTTATTATTATTCTAATTCAAATACTTATTTACACGTATTTTTTAATATACTATCTAAAACATGTCTTAGTACTAATTACTAATTCTAACCTTATCAAAACAACAAATGATAGATTTTCACTAAACGTATGAAGTTAGAACCAAAGAGTCACAGAATTATAACTAGTTATAGTTCTGTGCAAAGAGTACACCAACTACTCTTTGGTTAGAACTTAAAATCACAGAATAAAAACGAGAAACGAATTCGTTTCTTTTCTATGCTCAAAATCAAAGATTACTAGATTACTATTCTGTGCTTAAAATCAAAGTTTACTAGCTAGAATTCTAGATAAGGAATTTCATTCAGTGATTCTTGATAATTTTCTGATTGATTCAGCCGTTACTTGATGAAGATCCATAGTAATTTCAAAAACTACAGAAACAAATAAATAATGCTAAATGTTAACACCCGCTGTTAACCTCTATTTTGAGTTGAATATTTTCCTTTGAAACTTGTTATTAAGTATGTATATATTGCAATTTAATTATATATATTTTCTTTACAATGATCATTTTCGAGTGATACTTTCTTTCCCAAAAATTTATCACTTCTAAAAATATAACCCCTTCAATTCAAGTAACACTTTCTTATTATTAACATCCTAACTTTATTGTGAAATACCTTAGCATTGTTTATTTGTTTCAGCTGTTTGGGTATGTTATTGTCATAACTAATCACATTGTCCCATGTAGAATTCGCACATAATGACGTTCTGTGCTGTAGAATTTCCAGGAGTGGAGTGCCATGTGTTGTGTTAAGATTCATTTGTCGCAAATACCAATAAGTTATGTCTGGCGAATATAACACATTTCAAAATGTAAATGGAAATGAGGGTTATAATATTTTTCCTAAAACGATAGTTTGGCAGCTATACCTGTTCAGATTGAATATCAACCTCAGGATACTTTTTGAGCCACAAAACCTCTGAAAAGATCTCTTACTCTTCACCAAGCTATGATGATCAAGCTTGAATGTAAGTAAACCAATGCATAATTGATACTAAGCAGGCCAGTTTCTTCTAGGCTGGACTTCATCTGCCGTATAGCAAAAAAGGCTTTGTAAGGATTTGCACAAACTAGATCAAAACAATGTTTAGTATTACATCTTGAAAGGTTTCGTCCACTTCATGCAGGGTTTCGAATCTGCGAAAAATTCCTTTAGTCAGCTTGGTAATAGATATTACACATACTCCTCAGGCCTCACGACCTCTATTGGTATTCAAACGGCGTGCTTTATTCAACACCCCTAGGGGTTGAACAAGGTCAGGATACAAAAAAAAATGTTGATCGCTCCCCGAGGTGATATTCATTAGTTTAATTAGGAAACTGTTAATAATAATGTGAATACCAAAACACGTGAATTTTAGCAAATATGTCCATATTCATTTTCCACTCACCATATTATTTTCTTTTTCAATCACACTCTCTTCACTATGAGCATCAAACTGAGCAACTTTGGTTTGGTCTAACTGCTTAGGTGCAACTGTTTCTTCATTGTTCGCCACTGGTTCCTGACTTGCCTGCATCAGGAATGCAGTCTTTGTCTTATCCAACTTAGTGCTCTCAACACTAACAGGAGTTACATCTTGTTGACTAGATTGAGTTAGGAAGGCAGTTTTTGAATGATCAAGTTGTTTTGGTGTAGGAACCTTTTCGGTGGATGGAGAAATTGGATCCTCTTTTTTTATGTTTGAAAACAAAGCGGCTTTGGCATGGATATTTTTTCGAGGGGCTGGTGAAGATGTCACTGTAGAATCTGACTTAGTTTCTTGAGCCTGAATAAAATATTTTGTCTGGATTTCAAAAAAAAAGTTTATAGCTGAAACTAACTTACCATTGTTTCAAACTTAGCTCTCAAATCTGAAGGTTTAGCACCACCAATGTCAGGTTTAACTTTTGTGTAATTTGTTCCAACTTTATTAGGGGGATCAAAGTTAGCGGCAGATTTATCAAATCTGTCAGTTTGTACTCCAAACTTACCACCAAAACCTTTTTTGTGATCAAGCTGGCTTTCATGTTTTTGTGGTGCTTCATGATGATCCCATCCTAAAGCTGACTTATCTTGCCTATCAGATTGTATGCCAAATTTACCCCCGAAGCCGGTTTTGTAGTCTGAAAATAATTAAATATACCAAATCTATTATTTGTTTGAACTTTATGATGTATATTAATGAAAATAATAAACTATACCTTTTTGCGATTCATGCTTTTCTACTTTTTCCATATGATCCCATCCTACAGCTGATTTGTCTTGTCTGTCAGTTTGAACACCAAATTTACCTCCAAAACCAGAAACATAATCTTTCTGTGACGCATGTTTTTCAATCTTCTCTTTATGATCCCAACTTAGAGCACTCTAAAAAATTAATAGTGGCTGGTAGCTCTAACCATCAACAAAGCAATTTAATTATTTCTAGTATAAGATTCGTTAATTTTATTTCAGTCATAAATTGCTATGAGAGACCTTTCATATTAATTTTGTGATAAATTTAATCCTCAACCAATCTTTCAACCAATCTCAACCTCACTGAAATACAGAATATTTTTCCGAAGTAAAACGGTGGAAATGAAAACCAAATTGCTGAAATAACAATAAAATACAAGCAAGATTTAATATTCAATCCCAATAATTTACCTTATCAATTCTATCAGTCTGAATTCCATACTTTCCTCCGAATCCAGAGGAATAGTCTTTCTGTGAGGCATGTTTTTCAACTTTTCCAACATATTCATGCCCTACTGCCGACTGATCCATTCGATCTTTCTCAACTCCGAATTTACCTCCATATCCGTAAGATGGATTATGCTCACTCTCATCAAGTTCCTTTTTCTTTTTGAGAGTATCTGCCTCTTCCGTTTCTCGCCTCAACTTTTCCATACTAAAAAATGGTATTCAAAAAATCATTTGTAGTTCAAAATCAGTAGGTCAGATAAGAGTTAAGTTACAATTTTGTTTTTTTTTGACGTTTGGATGATGATATATTCTACATAGCTTTTTTTTCAAACCACATTAAATATGTGAAATTGAGTTTCTAGTGGTGTAAAGACTATATATAGATGAATATAGAATATTTTAACTTCTTTAGTAATCAAAAACAACAATTTTTTTGTTTTCCATGAACTGGGCGAGTAAAGTTTCTATGATTGTCTTCCTATAAGTGTTTTTCATGTTTGTATACTTGTATTTCACTACCTGTCATTAACCAGAGATCCTTCCGATACTTCATATTATTCCCCATTTGTTTTAGATTATCGTCAAACCAATACATTTTTTATATCTCTGATTGACTTTTTTCTCAGTAAAAAGTACTTCTCTTGCATATCTGATTTTCTCGCAAAGAAATGCCGCTGAAAAATTTGGTTTACTAGAAATGTAATAATTTGATCGTCTAAGTACGCCTAACTACATTTGACATTGTTTCAGTGGATTTTTTTCTACAATAAGTAGTTCACTTAAGAGAAATATATATATGCCAATGCCATCTGTTTTCAAAAGTTATCAAAACATTGTCAATGCTGGTGTAGGAGTGGTTAGTGACTTGAGTCAATTCTTGCATTAGATACAAATCAAATTTGTTCATCACCGAAGTCCATACAAAGACACAGATCATATAACCTTAAGTCATAACAGAACCGACAGGCGACAGCATTATAGACTGAATAAGTATATATATTAAAAGAACTATTATCAGGTCGTACTTGAAAGAACAATTGTATTAAGATCTACAAAAATATAAACATGAAACAAGTATGTAATAAAAGAATCAACAGATCGAGAGTTTTGATCTCTATGCAATTATCTTCATTTTTCCTAATTTTGATATTTGGACTATTTCCAGCTTATTATTATGTGATGTCGTTAAGTAAATTTCGGCTAATTTTTTCCTACGGATTCGAACTGAAGCAAGGCAGTGCTGAAGCAGCTCGAAAAATTACCCAAACATTTGGCAATGAAAGTGTTAATGAACACACTGTTTGACAATGGTCTACGAACTTTTCTTCCGAAGTGGTCGACCCACATTAATCCAGTACGAAGATTTGAGGACCCTGATGGAGACTGGCTCATCACAAATGGGGCGTGAGATGGCGGAAGAATGGGGCGTCAGCTCCCATGCGGTTTTTAATGGTTTAATACGTATTTTAAAGGTCGAAGAATTCAAAAAGTGGGTGCCCCACGATTTTAACGATCAACAGAAATTGTCACGTTTCGAAGTCTGTTCTTCTTTGCTTTTGCACAACCAAAATGTTTCTTATTTGGATCGGATCGTCACGTGTGATGAAAAGTGAATCCTCTACGAAAATAGCAGACGTTGAGGGCAGTGATTGGACACCGATGAGCCACGCAGGCACTTCCCAAAGGCAAAAAACCATCAAAAAAAGATCATGGTTACTGTATTGTAGCCAGCGGCTAGTGTGATTTACTATAACTTTCTGCAACTGGGTCAAACCATCACAGCGTAGTCTCTCTCTCTTGTATGGCCGTTGCTTCCCACTCGGTTTTCACATATACAGCCCCCTTTACGTGGTTACCCGAACCACCCCGGCCTAGATACCGGCGTGAATAAAGAAAGCTCCTCATTCTTCACTTTTCAAAAGTATCTCACACATTTCAATGGACTGACACAACACAAAATGGAGCCCCACGATAGCACATGGCATCCGCGTACCCTCTTGTGGGCCGACGTTATCATCACGTCCGTCCAATACAGCGGCCACCACGAAACTCCCACAGCAGAGTCCTATTGTGAGAAATTTACGAAATTAACCGAAAATTCCGTCAAACACTTCACTGAAACTATATAATTTTTGTGTGATTTGGCCACCACTCGATTAGCGTTAGGTAACAGAATACTATCTTGAGGTTCGTTATAATCAGCGGTTGACGGAAAGCGTAAAATAATGTAGGAGAGACGACGAACCTATCGTGACTTCACGTCACTTAGTTGCCTTAATTAAGGCCAACTGGCGTTACTGTCGACTCAAAACACTATTAGGTCCGGTCTCAGAGTAATAATAAGTATTTTGTTACTCTGAGGGTCCGTTTGAAGATGCATATTTCAACTGTGGTTCTGTGCTGAAGTGAGTTCACATTTTTTGTTATAAACACGTCGAGTGGATCGGTAGCTCAATGCGATGTTTCTTTGAACGAGATTTGGAGATCGTTCAAAGGCGGTTCAAGGATATTTTGACATTTGACGATGTGCTTTTAACCCCAAAAATTGATATTGCATTCCGTCTGTCAAAGTATGTTGGTCTTGGGAATCGGGTGTAATTTATCTTGCACTTTACCTGAATTAGTCTTGGAAACTTCATCATTCCTCCGAGACAATAAAACTTGTTTCTAAGCGTTTTATCCCAACCTAAGTGCATAGTTGACTAATACACATGTTTAATAACAGACCTACGAAAACTTCTTGAAACGATGGGTAAACAATAAGTTTTCCCATTTCTTTGAATTTTACGGAAAGGAGTACCAGACCGCAGCTGGTCTTTGAGGGTCGCGAAGTTGTTCAGGTAATAATCAGTCTTCTGATATTTCGGCTGAATTAAACTATTGAGTAGAATGGCGACCGTTGAATATGATTTTGATTGTCAAGTTGGCGGGAATTCGGCCAAAATGTTGAAGAAAACCAATTTCTAAATTGTCGACGTTTCGAAACTTTATTGTTTCATCTTCAGGACCATTTAGGGCGGCTTTCCGAGTTGAAGGGTGAAGTGAATAATTTCGACATAAAATATAAATGCGTACACAGATTCTTGAGAGACATTGACACAGACACAGGGATTAACAATCAGATTGTTCTCATTTTTATCTTGCCACTTCATATACTACCTGAAGTTAGTGCATGAATGAAGAGGTTTCATGATTTTAAAAAACTTTGGAATAAATGTACTTAAATAAGAATCTAAGCTGATAAATTGTATCAATCTGATGTTGCTGAATTCTATCCAGAAAAGAGCCATCCGCCTGATGAGAGACACGAACATCACGTGCAACCTTCTATAGATACTTTTAAGGGAACTAACGAACTGTAGCTGCTCATCGTTTTGAGGTTCAACTCAGTATACCTCAAACTTCATTGTTTAAGAACTCTTTCATCTGCGTTTATGTGGGATAAACTTCTTGAGAACGTTTTTCCAAATGGATTTAATCTCTAGCGATTCGAATGTGAGACGTCACTTTCGCACAGGCACTGCTCTGAGAGCGCCTTAAGGATTTTCCTGTAGTGCTTGTGTTTTGTCCTTAAAAATACCTGTGTGACAGTAGTTGGTGCTGCTCGAAAGACCTAAATGCGGGTTGGGATGAACTTCACCGTTTTTAGTTTTGTATCCCAGATATGACACAGATGTTTTGAGAAAAGAACATTTGGAGAAGTTGAAGGAAAACCCTGCGTTTACGAGAGTATCTAATATAATATTCAGTCTTCCTAACGCTTCTTCTATTGAATCTGCGATTACAAGAACGCCATATAAATAAACTAAGACCCAAAGGTGGGCTGGGTCACCTAAAGTCTTGTGAATTTTCCTCTGAAATGCTGCTGCTACTGTATTTTTGTTTAATTCTCGATAATTTACGCAAAGTCTATCTGAGTCATATTTCTCTACTTGAAGTAATATAGGATTAGAAAATGGTGAATGACAAGGGTTTATAATTTTTGCGTTGAGTAGTTGGTTGATTTGTTCGCGTACTATTTCTTGCTCTTAAACGCTAAGTTTGTATGGCTGTCGTTGCACAGTAATATTTGGGCCAATTAAACGTATTTCTAACTGCCCTGTATTTACTTGCGTACGCGGAAAACCTGTGATAAAAGAATTTTAAAGTTTCCTCAGATGGAAAATTGATTTATTCGCATCATTACCATAGACGTCAATATCTACTTCATTATAATTTATCTCGGTAACCGAATTTTATTACAGACCTCAATTACTAAAGTTTTGCAAATAACGAAACTATTTTGAGTAATATTTACATCAAAACCCTGGCTCAAAATTTTACGACCAACCTTTATGTCATATTTTGAATAAATTACGTGAAAAACTGTATGTTAAACCGTTAATACAGACAATTGACAAAAATTGTTAAATATAGGATCTTTCATTAAGCGCTTCCTATGTTTACATTTGAATGAAACGAAGTGTTTGTGAGATATTGAAATTTTTCATTTGTTTGAAAAACCTATATATTGATGCCATTATGTATGGAATATAACATCGTTTAAATGTCCGCCACGGCTACTCTGGGCCAATGACTCTGGCACATAAATCAAGCTGAATTTGACCGATGACATGGGTTATGCTGGCTTTGAGGACCGCTGTGGTTTATGATTTCGCATGGTGTCAAAAAGCACAATCTTGGTGAACAGTTCACACCACCTCCACGTGAGATGACCATGCTCTCAAATCGCTCGTGCAGAATATCCTATGCGTCATGAGCTGTGTGGCACGTAGAGCCGTCCTTTGGAAACCACACGTTGTTGGTGTCCAGATCATCCAATTCAGACCAAACGAAGTTGGTGATCATCTACCTATAGTGCTCGCTGTTGACAGTGATAGTCTGATCAACTTCGTTCCCAAAGAAATGTGGACCGATGGCACTGCCATCCCAAAATCTACACCAAACGGTGATTTTTTCGGGATGCATTGGACGCTCTTGGATCTCATGTAGATTAGTATCGGCCTAAATTCGACAATATTGTTTGTTCACGCACCCATCCATCCGGAAATGGGCCTCATCGCAGACACAGTGAACACACGTTGTTGTCCATAGTCGTTTACCTCCACTTCCTGGGTCAGTTGACTTTTTTACGGGTGCAGTATCAAGTCACGACGCAAAATTCTCCAAGTTGTGGACTGTGAAAGGCAGAGTTCCTTTGAGCGA